CAGCAGCAGCAGCAATAGCTCTTATTGGCCACAGGCCATCGTGAGAATAAAGATTTGAAACAACAACAACAACTTCTCTTATTGGCCACAGGCCATCGTGAGAATAAAGATTTGAAACAACAACAACAACTTCTCTTATTGGCCACAGGCCATCGTGAGAATAAAAGATTTCAAACAACAACAACAGCAACAACAACAGCAACAGCAACAACAACAACACGGTATCGGTAACATTGGTCAGTAAGTACTTGCAGTAGGATGCTGTCGCATGCTCTTGGGAATGAACTTTTGCTTATGGGTAACAGACCGCACAATCTTCTCCAACTAAACAAGTACTCAGTACAGTTCACACGTATGCCCCTCCCTCCCCCAACACACACACACACACACACACACACACACACACACACACACACACACACACACACACACACACACACACACACACAAGCATGCATGCACACGTAGAGACAGACAAGAAACACACAGACCCCTCCCCCCCCCCCCCCCACACACACGCACACATGTACCAGTACATAACTCACAAAAAAGGCAAGGAGGCTTCATGAGTGCTCGGTCTTTATATGACCAGCAAGAGCATCAAGCAACAGAAGCAACAGCTACCAAACTGGTCCAAACTGTTTAACCCAACGGCAAGCCAAGAATACAGGTATAAGTTCACACAAGACTGAACAACAAGAGTGAGGTCTACAACTAGGGAAACTTGGCCAGGGAATTGGGAGAAACTATATACAATGCTTCAGATGAACACAAAATAGGGCAATGGAAAAAGAGGCCAAGTAAAAATAGTAGTGTAAAGAAAAATGGGGGATGAAGAGGGGACACGATCCAAAATGCTAGAACGCGGATGGTAGAGAATGCGCACGTCCTGAAAGCTAATCGACCGGCCTACCGAACACTCTGGCAAGATTGGTGTAAAAATGATGCTTAGAAACAGTGAAGAGAGAGAGAGCCAGTTGCTGTACCTGTCAGTATGCGTTCGAGCTTCTGTTGGTACAATGTTACAATGTTACAATACTACAAATGTTACGACTGCAGATCAATCAATAGTAAAAACGCAATGGGTACTATAATGTTGGCAATGTTAAACAGAACCTAAAACGAGATACACCAAGAGAGTACAGACTGCGACAGGGAGGACTTTGCAGACAGGCCTAATTGAAATACATAGACACAGTGACTGCGGTACACTGCAGCGCAGCACAGCGTAGCATTGCAAGCGAGGAGAGTCGTGATTCGGGGCGTACTGAGTAAGTATTGAGTAAAACATGCAACAGACACAAAACATGCCAGATAATGTTCATACAGAGATAATACGGAATCGGAGTACCATCTCGGGTAACACAACGCCTGGGTGGCTTACTGAAGATGGGATACGTTGTCGTTGTCATCGTCATCGCGTGGTGAGAGCATCAGCAGTGTCGGTGGGTGGACAAAGCCAGCAACGACGCAGTGCACAAGAGCAGCAGGGATCAACAACACTATGCCATGCATCCCCTAAAGCAAGCATGTATGCTGACAATGAACTGTGGTGGTGGAAAGGGTCGGAAAACTGGACGCACACGCACACAAAAAGCAGGGCTTGATCGCTACAATATGCAGTACCTGCACACAAAAACAAACAAGATGACACAAGAAGCATAACCAACAATGTATATGTGCCACGAGTATAGAAGGTCAACAGGTACAATGGCTTGCGGTGGGCAAGCTGCCCTCCGTGTGGCACTCAAACGCAGAAAAGTGCTAGTAGTAGCCCCTGGTCTACCGGAGCCTGAACAATTGCCTGCGGCTTTTGTTGCGAATCTGTATCATGCCTGTCATGACTCATGACCACAGCGTTAAGTCAGGGAGCCGATCCTTGTGTAAGGCAACTCCCGGCATTTTTAGAGAAGTTTGATGCACGTCCAAATTTATCACATTCATGCATGCACCGACGCAGCAGTTATCACATTCATGCATGCACCGACGCAGCAGTTATCACATTCATGCATGCACCGACCCAGCAGTTATCACATTCATGCATGCACCGACGCAGCAGTTATCACATTCATGCATGCACCGACGCAGCAGTTATCACATTCATGCATGCACCGACGCAGCAGTTATCACATTCATGCATGCACCGACGCAGCAGTTATCACATTCATGCATGCACCGACGCAGCAGTTATCACATTCATGCATGCACCGACGCAGCAGTTATCACATTCATGCATGCACCGACGCAGCAGTTATCACATTCATGCATGCACCGACGCAGCAGTTATCACATTCATGCATGCACCGACGCAGCAGTTATCACATTCATGCATGCACCGACGCAGCAGTTATCACATTCATGCATGCACCGACGCAGCAGTTATCACATTCATGCATGCACCGACGCAGCAGTTATCACATTCATGCATGCACCGACGCAGCAGTTATCACATTCATGCATGCACCGACGCAGCAGTTATCACATTCATGCATGCACCGACGCAGCAGTTATCACATTCATGCATGCACCGACGCAGCAGTTATCACATTCATGCATGCACCGACGCAGCAGCAGACGAACCGACCAGTTTAAAAGTAAAGATGTCAACAGAGACGTTGGACACTGGAAGAGTCACAAGGAGAGACGTTGGACACTGGAAGAGTCACAAGGAGTCGAGTAAAGAGGCGCCGTGGAGGTACCTCACGGACAGCAACACTGCAAGTGACAACTAGCGTGAACACGAGGAAACGGGGAAGACCACCGAAGAAGACGTATGCCGATTGACAACCACTCGACCACATGTATACCAAGTGAGGATCACTCGATGATGTATACCGAGTGAGGGTCTCTCCATGACAATACATTGCACAAACTAGACTTATAAGTTATAAAATGCTATGCAAATTGAGCCGAAAACTGACAACAGACCTGCAGCTTACACTACTAATCCAGCGTGGCAAAGACTTGCTCCACGACATCCACGTCCTCAGTAGAGCTACGGTCGACCAAGCGAACACTGGCTGGCTGAGAGTCACTGGCGTTGCTCACAACTGACACACTCACAACTCCCTTCTCCTGCACCGCACAGGGGAGAAAGCAAGCGAGACAGTACCATCAACAATATGTGTATAATGTACTT